TCGGGTGCTGATGCTGTGGAGCGCACAGAGGAGTCAGGTAGAGGAGAGCAGAGGAGTCTGTGTCTGCGAGTGACACGAGTCTGGTGAGTCCTCCCATCACAAGTCATGATCTTAGTTGTTGGCTGTCTGAATATTCGGCGTAGATGATTTCTTCTGTCTGTTCCTGACATCTCATCTTCCTCTCCATCTGCTGGATCATTGTCTCCCCAATACCTGACTCTGTTCCCATCTGCTCCCCACTACCAAATCCTCCAACCCCGGCCATGCCAGCCTATCCCACCGTCTGTAGGTAGATTGCATCTGAGGTGTCCCTTCTCCGTGTCATTGTAAGAAGATTCTACTTCTTAGCCTCTGCTCAGCTTCTCTCAGCCTCTCTTCAGCCTCTCCTCAGCCTCTCTCAACCTCTCTCACCCTCTCCTCAGCCTCTCTCACCCACTCTCACCCTCTCCTCAGCCTCACTCAGCCTCTCCTCAGCCTCTCCTCAGCCTCTCCTCAGCCTCTCTCAACCTCTCTCACCCTCTCCTCAGCCTCTCTTCAGCCTCTCTTCAGCCTCTCCTCAGCCTCTCTCAACCTCTCTCACCCTCTCCTCAGCCTCTCTTCAGCCTCTCTTCAGCCTCTCCTCAGCCTCTCTCAACCTCTCTCACCCTCTCCTCAGCCTCTCTTCAGCCTCTCTTCAGCCTCTCCTCAGCCTCTCTCAACCTCTCTCACCCTCTCCTCAGCCTCTCTTCAGCCTCTCTTCAGCCTCTCCTCAGCCTCTCTCAACCTCTCTCACCCTCTCCTCAGCCTCTCTTCAGCCTCTCTTCAGCCTCTCCTCAGCCTCTCTCAACCTCTCTCACCCTCTCCTCAGCCTCTCTTCAGCCTCTCTTCAGCCTCTCCTCAGCCTCTCTCAACCTCTCTCACCCTCTCCTCAGCCTCTCTTCAGCCTCTCTTCAGCCTCTCCTCAGCCTCTCTCAACCTCTCTCACCCTCTCCTCAGCCTCTCTTCAGCCTCTCTTCAGCCTCTCCTCAGCCTCTCTCAACCTCTCTCACCCTCTCCTCAGCCTCTCTTCAGCCTCTCCTCAGCCTCTCCTCAGCCTCACTCAGCCTCTACTCAGCCTTTACTTAGCGTCTCCTCAGCCTTTCTCAGCCTCTCCTCAGCCTCTCTCCGCTTCTCTCAGTGTCTCCTCAGCGTCTGTCAGCCTCTCCTAAGCCTCTCTTCAGCCTCTCCCAGCCTCTCTCACCCTCTCCTCAGCCTCTCCTCAGCCTCTCTCAGCCTCTCCTCAGCCTATCATGTCTTCTTTCAGTCCTTCTGTCTCTTCTTCTTCTTTCAGTTGGGGGTGGGGAGACTCCCACAAATCTTATTCTTGCTCTCTCGTTACCACTGACTGAACAATACTTGGCTTTCCTGGGCTCCCGGGAACACTTTGACTTGGGTAGAGCTAAGAAGCATCCCAGTGCAAGTCAGTCACAGAGCTTCATGCTGGAAATTCTCTAAAACCAATAAAACAAATGTTCTACGTGACCAATAATTGATCCAATGTCATGTTCTGCAAGTTATCCAGGTCACCGCAGGTTTCCACAGCGGACGGCAGAGCTCGTCGTCAATATCCCTTTGTCTATGGGCAGATCTGATCCTATGTGGTTGGGCCATACAGTATACAATCCATTTTCTGGAATTCACAATTCCAATATGATTTGTGACAATGACGTTGTATCAAAGATACGGAACCACCGGGAACAAATCTCCTCCGACCGGTGTGGGGGCGTTCTCCATGGGAAAGGGGGGGCCATGCTTTTACCATTCACCCGGGAGCGCTGGTGAATCTCTCCCCGAGGCTGACAGATCGCGTATTCGCTCAGCCACATTCCCCGGTGTCATGCTTTGCTGGGACTCAGTTCAGTAATAGAATACATTGTCGCGGGATCACAATATTTGTTTTCATTTTAACCTCATTCACCCACCAAAAATATATATGTATGTTGTTTTCACACAACCATAAAGGTATTTTTGGTTTTGTTAGGCGGAGTTGTTTTTTGTTATTATTTTAAGATTTATTATGGGGGGTTTTTTTTTGTTTACTAAAATTTTGTCTGTTTTATGTTTTTTTGTTGTTTTTATTTTACATATGGGAGAGCAGTCTGATATAGGCAAGAAGATTTCAATAAGTCAAATCGGTGAATATGTTTCTAATTGTTTTTCATAGCTTGTTGTAGTGTGATCATTGCACTGTGCTTTATTATTATAATAATAATAAAAAATGAATAATAATAAAAATAATTTTGGTTCAAAAATGCACAACAGCCACTGGTGCTTCTATCTGGGGACAGTCCTACAGTAGTTTGGTAGACCAAGTGCTCCATCCTGCCTGCCCCTTATTTGACTTTTTTGTATTTTTTCTTAACTTTCTTTTCCTTTATTAAAATGTTTTATCTGTTTGGCCCAAGCATTCCTAAATTCACTGACTGTTGACTGACTCTGTTCCTCTGCTGGAAGTCTGTTCAGTTCATTTTATTAGTTTTGAACTTAGTTTGAGGTCGTGTCTCTTGTGTTCCTAGATATTAGCTTCATATTGAAACTTCCGACCTCCTGATCTTTATTCATATATTTAAAGGGTTCATTCATGTCCCTTCTTTCCTCCGGACTGCACGTGTTTAGTTCCTGCAGTCTCTGCTGATATGTTTCACCACTCAGACCTTTCACCATTTTTTGTAGCCCATCTCTGGACTCGTTCATCAATATGTGTTTTGTAAGTGTGATCTCCAGAACTGGACACAGCATTCTAAATGATCTCTAACTAAGGATCTGTATAGAGGGATCAGGACCTCCTTCCCCCTGCTGGGGATCCCTCTAGTGATAACTAAGGATCTGTATAGAGGGATCAGGACCTCCTTCCCCCTGCTGTGGATCCCTCTAGTGATAATAAAGATCTATATAGAGGAATCAGGACCTCCTTCCTCCTGCTGGGGATCCCTCTAGTGATAATAAAGATCTATATAGAGGGATCAGGACCTCCTTCCCCCTGCTGGGGATCCCTCTAGTGATAACTAAGATCTATATAGAGGGATCAGGACCTCCTTCCTCCTGCTGGGGACCCCTCTAGTGATAATAAAGATCTATATAGAGGGATCAGGACCTCCTTCCCCCTGCTGGGGATCCCTCTAGTGATAACTAAGATCTGTATAGAGGAATCAGGACCTCCTTCCTCCTGCTGGGGACCCCTCTAGTGATAATAAAGATCTATATAGAGGGATCAGGACCTCCTTCCTCCTGCTGGGGACCCCTCTAGTGATAACTAATCACTTAGAAGGATTGCTTACTTTTTTTGCTTTATATTTATATATTATAGAGGTCACCTGACATCTGAGTGTTGCTGCCCTTTAAACTACCTGACCTCACACACTGTCTCCTAGCTCCTGAGCATGCACAACATTGTCACGCTGATTACCCCTATTATAAAACTGCATGAAAAATGCAGCAGCTGTTCAACAACT